CCCCAGACCTGGCTACGCTCTTGGTCTTTCCAACTGAGAGGGACTAAAAGAGCCATAAAAGAACAAATGGTTGATGCCATATAATGTTATGGTAACTCTTCCCACCAGCCTGGTCCCAGTGCCGCATCAGTCCCAAATGAACACGCAGGACGTTGTATTAATTATGAAGCTGTTGGCTGTTTTCTGTGGTTTCTTATCGGCTAGCTCTAAGTTATTAACCCATAACTACTAATCTGAGTATTTCCATGTGGTCTTCTCTTACCGGAGAAAGGGTCTGGACCTCTTATTCCTCTGGCATCCTACATGGTGACTGACTGTGCCTCCATTTCCCAGAATCCTCCACCTCTCCTAGTCCTACCTATCTTGCTTCCCTATTGGCCAACAGTGCTTCAGTTATCAACCAATAAGACAAACATATACAGAGAAGGACTTAACCCCATCAATATAACATCTGAGGTGGGGATTTGCTTGCCATTAGAGAGAGACACGCTTGAGCCAAAATCCTGGGCTGGAGGATGGCAAGTTCTAGTGAAGGACCTAAGTTAATCAGATCCAATGTATCGCAATATCCTGAGCTCAATAACCAGACAGTTGGATGCAAACCGCAAGAGGTTCATTGCTCACACAGGCACCTGCAGTAGCCTTAGCTAGCTGAGCATGCTGGGCTTTAAGACAGTTTTCTCTTTATATATATAATCTTGGCAAGCAATAGGGGTATTGCAAAAAGTGCGGGCATAATTTAACTTTCCTGGATAAACCACAAGGTGAAAATTAAGCTTATCTCAACAGTCTGGCGGTTTCATGCATCAGCATTCTGGACCAGATGTTCTTTTTGATCTGACCTTGTTCCCTGCCTAGGGGACCTTGGGGAATTTTCCACTGGGGCAACCTTCTGAGTCTCAAGGCGGGTGTATTGAGGTCTTTCACTAGGAACCTAGAGGGCAAAGGTCAGCAGAGAATTTTAGTTTCCATTTCAGGGATTCAGGATGAATCTCACTGTGTGTGTGTGTGTGTGTGTGTGTGTGTGTGTGTGTGTGTATTTGTATATAAGTATTGCACTGAGATGGAGGCCAGAGGTCAATGTCAGGTGTCTTCTCTGTCACTCTTCACCTTAGTATTTGAGACAGGGTCTGGCACTGAACCTGGAGCTCACTGAGTGGCCAGACTGACTGGTCAGTGAGCTCCAGGGCCCCCCTAGGCTCTTCCTCCCAGTGCTGGGGTTACAGGTGTAGGGCTCCATGCTGAGCTTTTCGTAGCTGTTGGGGATTGGAACTCAGGTCCTCACGCTTGCACATAAAACACTTAACCACGGAGTCACCTCACCAGCCTCAAATCTCTCTCTAAAAGCACTCATTTGTAAAGCTTTTGTATACATCCGTTGTGATGTACGTTCAGCATATGACTTCTCACAGCCCTCCCTACCATCCCTTGTCAGTTCCCTTTACCATCCTAGACAATTTTATTTCTTTCATGTCATGTGTATATGATTTCATATACCTCTGAAAAACCTAGGAACTGCAGATGAAGGAGAACCTATGATATTCATCTTTCTGAGACTGTCTTAATTCACTTATGTATGGAATCAGTTTTCTGGGCAAGTGGCGTAACTTCATTCCTCACAAGGACTGGAAGAAGCCCCTTATGTGCACACATCACCTTTCCGTACCCCTTTCTATTCCTGGGTACCTTGTTGGTTCCATGAGGGAGCAATCGTGGCCAGTGTTGCAATAAACAGAGATGCCCAAAGAACCCATGTGACATGCTGGTTTGGAGAAACTGAGTAAATACCCAGCAGTGCCACAGCTGGGTCCTGTGAAAGGTCTGTGTTCAGTTAGTTGAGAAACCTCCACACTGATGTCCGTGGTGGCTGGACTAGTTTGCATTCCCTCGGATGTGTATAAGGGTTCCCTTTGTCCACACTGCTGTTCGCATTTTTATTTTTTATTTTTGTCATTTATCTTCCTGATCACCGCCATACTGATGGGGTGAGATGGGATATTAGTGTAGTTTTGCTGTTTATGAAGGAGAGTTGAAGACAGCAGCAAGGGCCTTCCCTCTGCTCTCCTGTGGAATGCTCATCACTACAGGCTTTGCAGGCAGCGGACTCAAGTCTGAAGTCCAGTTCTGGGGCTGGGGATGGATATGGGTCTTTGAGCCCAGGGTCCTTACGGGTATCATGAGACTGATGACCGTTTCCACCGAAAGGAGGCTTGCTGGGAGCTCATGGGTCTGGAGCTTGGAACCAGGCATTAGCTAGACGTTACAAATGCTGCCTCTGATTGTTGTAGGCAGGGTTTGCTCTAACAGCTGAATGTAATGAAGTGTCAGGGTGGCCAGAAGAGACGGGACTGCAGAAGGGCTTAGCATATCCATGTGAGGAGTGTTCAGCGAGAGAGTCAGCCCTGTCACATGGCTCTGTTAATCATGCGCTTACTCTGCTCCTAATGGGGAAATCAGGCCGGATCTCACGGCCGTCGTCACATCGGCTGGTGTTTGCTTACTATGAGCAGAGGCTTGCATGCTTCATGGGAGCCATCCCTTTGGGGACAGTGGGAGCAAATGACTTTTGGTTTTACCAGAGGGTGCTGACTGCAGCTGGGTGGCCACCGGGCTTCTGAGACCATAAGGAACTCCAGGCACTAGTGACGGCTTGGAGGAGAATTAGCCTCTCCCAGGAATGAGCTTCCAGTGCAACGAGGTTAGCCTTGAAACCATAGGCGCACAAACAACAGGAATGGACCCGGCAGGTTATATATACACACACACACATATACATATATGTGACAGAAAGTTACCAGTTTGAGAGAGGGGTTTGAAGGAGGGGGACTTTGAGGGGCAAGTAAGAGGAAAGGGAGGGGGGATTGATATAATTCTATTCAATTAAAAGCATTAAAAAATGAAGAAGAAGAAACCGAAAGAACCCTCCTCTGTCAGTTGAGAGTGGGGGGACAGGAGAGTTAGTCTAACTCCACAGGCGTGCTGGGAAGTTGGATGGATGACACGGGTTTCTGTTTAATTCCTCGGGGGACCTTGAGTGGTGGATGTGATTGTCTTCTCCATTTTATACCAAGAAGGAAAAATGCGTAGACAGGTCCTATCACTTTCCCGAGGTGACACCCGGCCCACAAGAGGTGGAATGGGATCCTAATGGAGGGCTCAGCGGCTTACCTCTGAGCCGTACGGTCTCCGGTGGCCGAGTCAATCCATGTCTTAACAACTAGACAGGCTGTGCTGGGTCAACAGCCTCCGTGGCTCCTTTCCCCAGAGCTGTCCTGCTTTCTCTCTGGCAGGAGGGGCTTTGTGGTTCTTGCAGGGAGGTGGCCTTGGGACCCAGAAGATGGCATTGTATCCCCTAGAGCTGTAGTTCTAGGTAACTGGGGCTGTCTGACCTGTGGTAGGCTGGGAACCAAACTCAAGAGTCCTCCAGAAGAGACTATAAAGGGTCCTAACCAACAAGCTGTCTGCTATGTGGCTGAAGATGACCTGGAATTTCTGATCCTTCTCTCTCTGTCTCTCTGTCTCTCTCTGTCTCTCTCTGTCTCTGTCTCTGTCTCTCTCTCTGTCTCTCTCTCTGTCTCTGTCTCTATGTCTATGTTTCTGTCTCTGTCTCTGTCTCTTTCTCTTCCTCTCTCTCCCTCCTGAGTGCTGGTCTCACAGACAAGTGCCACCGTGCCTAGTTTTACAGGAGCTAGGCTTAAGAGAGCACCCTACCAACAAAGTCACTTTCCTAGACTGCTCTTGAGTCTGTGGGATTTGGAGCCAGACTTCCTGGAAACAAGCATTTGCTTTACACCTAGTAGGACTTTGTCCCCATCACTGGCCTCTCTCAGCCTCAGTTTCCTCATCTGTAAAATGGAATTCCGGAAGATGCTTGCATCCACACAGAGGTGCAGATTGAGAAAGCCACTACGCTATGCCTGGAATGCGCCAAGCACTCTATGGATATTACCTGGTCTTATGTCCATCACAACTTCTTTGTTTCTTTAAATTATTACTGATTTATTTCTTATGTGTGCACGTGGATGCCAGAGAACAGCTTTGTGGAGTTGGTTCTCTCTTTCCACCTTTATGTGGATTTTGGAGATGAATGCAGGTCACCAGGGTCGTGTGACAAGTACTTTTACCTGCCGAGCCATCTCCTGCATAGAGTGGGTGGAAAGGACCCAGGTCCCTCCCCATGGTCTAGTCCCCTGCCACTTACTCCCACGGTCCTTTTCTTATCACCCGAGACACGCAGGGAAATTGCAATTTAATTCTGAAATGAGCATTTATCTTTGCCTTGCTACCCAGGCCCTGAGTCATGGCGGCTGTTTGGTTTCATCTGCCGTAGCTCTTCCGTTAATAATACCCTATTGGATTGCTGTTGAGCCCGATGGATGGTGAAGCAGCCAGGAAAACATCACTAAGTAAACACAGCCCCAACCCTCCCTCCTCTCTGCCTCCCGTGCTGTCAGAAAGGAGCCTGCAGCTTCTCTCTTTGTGTCGCTAACTCATAAATGGAAGAAGCAGGTGATAAATATAGTGGGGATGATAGGTTTCTGAGGAAGCCTGAGGAATTGAAGGCTGGCTGCTGGAAAGCCAGAGAGGGTGTGAGTGGGCCTCAGAAAGGGGCACGTGGCTTCTGCAGCCACAGAAGGCCGCTGGCTCCAGCGCTTGCTGGCCAGGCCAGGCTCTGCCCTCACCCTGTGAGGTGTCATTTTCACACGGGTGGGGCATCCATACAATCGGCAAGTGCTGGCCTTCTGGGCTGTTCCCACAGTCCCCAGTGATGGCTGTCTGAGTGGACTGAGGTTGTCTCCAGAGTCCACAGGGCTTTGGCGGGGATACTGGACAAGGGCTCAGGATGGCCAGGTCGTGGCCCTGAGTCTTCACGGGTGTTTCATGTGAGCTGGAGGAACCCAGTTCCCTTTCTGGACCTCGGAGTCTTCTGTCCACAGGTCGCTTGACTTAGTTCTCAAAACAAACAAAAACAGCTGGCATTTCTCAAATGCATGGTTCCAAGTCTTTATTAAATTACTGACTTCCTACAACAAACCAGCTCCCTCTAAGGACATGGCCAGCACCCACCATAGAGTGAGGGGAACACCAGGACTATCGGCTCCAGGCACCCAAACAAAGCCACACTGCCTTGCCACCCAGAGGGATTGCCACATCTGCACAGTGGCTGTGAGCCCTGTCCCTGCAAAGGTGCAGGGCATGCTGGGATGTTCAGCTACGTTTCCTTGGGAGCCACCTAGCTACCTGTCATTGTGGTTCTGGGTGTGGGCCTCTTCTGAGTCCAGATGTGCACAGAAGACGACTCAGGCTTGGTCAATGACACGGCTACAGTCTCATCCTTCGTCACCTCCACTTAACATGGCATGGTTCATGTGTGTGTGTGTTCTCAAGAGCTTCCACATGGAGAGGGGTTGCCTGGGAATAAGACAAAGAGGAGGTGGGGGGAAGGTAAGGAGGGGTAGAGGTGAGTAAAAAGAGCAGGGTTTGGGGTATGTACCAGTGATGTAATTAGGCCATGCTTGGGCTAATGGAGCAGTAAATACCTGTGTTAGTTATTATTATTACTATTATCATTATTATTGTTGTTTTTTCAAGACAGGGTTTCTCTGTGTAACTTTGGAGCCTATCCTGGCACTCGCTCTGTAGACCAGACTGGCCTCGAACTCACAGAGATCCTCCTGCCTCTGCCTCTCGGGTGCTGGGATTAAAGGCGTGTGCTACCGACACCTGGATGTCATCATCATTACAATGACAAAATGTCCGAAAGTGCTGATCGGGAGGGAAGCTCTGCTTTGGCTCATGGTTTCTGAGGGTTCTAGTCTGTAGACTGAGCTGAGCTGCCACTCAGAGCGGCTCAGGTCAAGGTGGTTGGAGCACAGGGCAGAGGCTGTTCACAGCATGGAAGACCAGCAGGAGCAGAGAGCATGAGCAGAACTCAGGGCCAGTGTGACCTGCTTCCTCCAGCCAGACATGCAGCCTCTGGAACAGTGTCACCAGCAGAAGCAGAATTCACAGCAGGAGCCTGCTGGGACACATTATAGACTCAGCCTATAGCAGTTACCTTTATGCTTAGGGTAGCTGGAGCAGGCGTATTTATTTTTCTATTCATAGCTAAATAATTGCTTAAAAAAAAGTGTCCATATCACTGAAGTGGATGCCAAAACTGCCAAGTGGATCTGAGATCTGACCATTGCCGTGGCTGCATGTTCTAGACAGAGGTCTGTTTCTACCTTCGGGATGACTGTCATGTGTGTCCCCATTTTTCATGCGTGTGTGGTCAAGTACATGCGTGTGAGGGCACATATGGGGAGGCCCAGTGTTGATGTCCAGCATGATTCTCAATCACTCAATGCATTTACTGGGGCAGGCTTCTCAGTCAAAGCAAGAGCTCAGTGATATATGATTAGTCTTGCTAGCCAGCTTGCTCTGGGGATCGGGGTATGGCCTTCCAAGGCAGAGGCCTTCCAACGAGTCATCCAGTTCATCAGGCATTTTACATGGGTTTCTGGGGGATCTGAACCCGGGTCCTCATGCTCTGCATCACACTCTTTAATCACAGAACCATCTCCCTAGCCCCAGTGATGGCCATTGTGAACAGAAAGTTCTGTAAGCTGGGATTGTCTTAGATACTGTAAAGCTGTGATCAGCCTCTTGGCCTTGGCCCACTACGTGTTGGTAATCACCTTCCACGTCCGGTGTCCCAAGGGTGAAGACTCTCCAGGAATTGCCAGGATTTGCTGGGAGATAGAACTGCCCCCAATTTGATGTAGAACAATTGAGCTTTTGTTAAGGCCTTTGTCATGTCATTTTCTAAGGTGGTGTAGACACTTGTATGTTGCTCATGCTCTGGTTAGTAAATCCCACCCTCTTACACATACATTCCTAGTTAAACTCAGTGGGCCACAGGGCAAAACCATGATAATAGAAGGGAACTACTTGGGAACAAAAGAGGTAGTGAGGGGAACAAGAGAAAGTATGGGGATAAGTATGATCAGAATATGTTATTTACATGTATGGAATTGTGAAAAATAAATTGCCTGCTAAACAAAAGAACTTTGTTGTGGGGCTGGGCATAGTGATGCATGCTTTAAATTCTAGCATTCAGGAGGCAGAGGCAGGTGGATCTCTGAGTTCAAGGCCAGCCTGGTCTACATCGAATTCCAGGACAATCAGGACTACATGGTGAAACTCTTGACTGAAAACACAAAAGGCAAAGTCACACAAACAAAAACAAAAAACTCACCCCCAAATGAACAAAACAAATCACCAAACAAACCACACATAACTTTTGTCCTGGACAGTGTTCTCTCACTGGCTGTTAGAAATACTCTTGAGTGTAAAAATAGTAAGAATCACGCAAGATGTCACAGCCAGGAAAGGCGCTGCCATGCATGGTGACTTGAATTCAGTCCCTGGGATGCATGGTGGGAGAAGAGAATTACTCCCAAATTGACGGCTGACTTCCACACATAAGCCATGGCAGCCCACACTACCCCAAATGCTGAGGACTTCTGTGTAAGGTGATGTTACCTGTGCTCAAAGGCTTCCCGAGTTGGGGCAATCTTTGAGGACCATTGGTGGAATCCTGGAGCACACGTGCTATGTTGGAAGCATTTGTGATGAACAATGGGATTGGCTGCTGGAAGACGAGTCCTTCAGTGCTAAGATGGTCAAGCGCTTCAGTCAGTAAGAGCCCCTAATTTCTTGTTGGATTCATGTCACAGGTGGCAGGTGCCAGCCCAGACAACAAGCCTGGAAGCCAAGAGCATCATCAGTGTCAAAGGGGAGCACACAGAATGGCTGGGTCCTCTCAGCTCCTGACCGAGGGTCTCTCACACACATGCCACGTCTAAGCCCAAGATTCGCCTGCAAGTGAGTGACACCTGCCTTTGCCTAGCTACTCCTACTGAGTTGAAAGGTCACCTGCTCAGTGAAACCTTTCCCCATACCACATTCCAGTCAGAGGCCATTGGAGTCAGGGGAACTGCTGGGACTTGCCCAAACCACTAGCCAAGAGTCACTAGAGAAGGGAGTTTCAGTTGAGCGACTGCCTAGATGAGATTGACCTGCAGGCATGTCTCTGGGGGAGGGGAGTCTTGATTGTTAATTGATACAGGAGGGCACAGTCCACTCTGGGGGGCACCATTCCCTATGCAGGTGGTCCTGGGCTGTCTATGCAAGCTAGATGAGCGAGTGAGCCAGCCAGCAGCATCTCTATGGTTTCTGCTCCACGTTCCTGCCCTGACTTTCCTCAATAATAAGACTGTGATCTGAGGTGGAAGACTTTCCCTCTAAGCTGCTCATGGTTACAGTGTCATGTCACAGTAACTGGAAACTTGAACACCCACAGCCAGGGAGAACCTAAAATGCTGAGTCTGTGTCTCCAGGAATAGAGTCCAATAAGGAATGCGCTGAGCCAAAGGGAACGTGCTTGTTTACTGTCAAATATAGTCACGTCAGTGTGCGCAAGTACGGGACTGTACCTCCCTGCCCTCCTAGCCCTGCCTGCCTGGAGAGCTCTCCACAGCATTGGCTCTAGCTACCTTTAGGATGACAGCTGCCCCTGGCCACTCCCTCCCAGGCAGCCCAGGACTCCCTTCTGTAGAGAAGCAAGCAGCATCACCACTGAAGGTACCCACCGCCTCTGCAGCAGCAGCAGAGGGAGGAGAATGTGCTAGCACAGTGACAGGAGCTGAGCTGGGAGCCACTGGAAACAGAAAGAATGAGAGCAAAGAGAGAGACCTTAGAACCATGGCTGGGAAAGCAAAAACAAACAACAAAAGATCCACAGTTTGGAAAAGAAGTGATTAGTAAAAAAATGCACCAAGATAGAACCAGAGCACCCAACAGGTGGGCAGGTGCGACCTTGTTGGTCTTCAGCAGGTGAGCTCAGGCTCCTAAGAAGGCAGGATGGTGGCCACGCTGACCCTGGCCACACTTTCAGGCACAGGTAACAGGTACTGTGGAAAACCAGCATCAGGGTGGGTTCCACAGTCTCCGTTCCTGAAGTGGGGCTCCCACTCTCCTTCTCTTCCTCCCCCTCCTCCTTTTTCTCCTCTATGTTCTCTATCCCCTCCTCTTCTCTTCCTTCCCCTCCCTCCCCTTTCCTTCTTTTCTCCTTCCTTTCCTTTCCTTCCCTTCCCTTCCCTCCCTTCCTCCTTTCCTGCCTCCCTCCCCATTTCCTCTTCCTCCTCCTCTCCCTCTCCTTTGGAGACACTGTTCAATGTATTCCAGGCTGACACTGAGGTCACTATGAGAGTCAAAGATGACCACGAGCCTCTGATGCTTCTGCTTCCACCTCCTGAGCGCTGGGAACAGACATTGCCACCCTGCCTGGTTTCTGCAGTGCTGGGCTGGGGGTCGAACTCATGACTTATCTGTGCTAAGCAAGCCCTCTGCCAATTGAGCTACACACCCCCTCGGGGGTGGTTCTTACTGGTAGAGGTCTGCTAGTGAGTGGTAGTGAGAGCCTAGTGCAATGATCTGAATAAAGATTTACGGTTGGCAGCTACGCAGCACTCTATGAATATCAGACATGGACTTTTGCACTTCCAGAAGCAAATGGCTCATCTGCCTCCGGACGGAGCTCTCCCATGCCTGGACCCCTGCGATTTTGGGAGTTGCTGGAGTCTCAGAATGCTCTAGGCATGTGGCTGATTGTTTACAGAAATTGTTTCTATTTGAACACATATTATGGAATTTCCTAGAGACATCCAAGAAGAAAGGCTGAATACTCCCAAGACATGCCTCATGCCCTGCTTGGTTACTTGTTTTAAAAGAAGGGGCATCTCCAGCCCCTGAGTGACATTCTCTTTCATAAATAGGGGGGTCTGAAATTGTATTTGGTCCCATACGTCTTAGCCATGTCCTTAGGATCTGAAGATTGAGGATGCGGCACGTGGTGTGCCAGCTTTGAAATCTGCCTCGCCTGAAGAAGGTGACAGGCAGTCAGAGGAACTCCCATGCTGGCTGGTACCCTGCTCCCACCACCTTTCCCTCCTCTCTTCTGTCCCTCCCCCTCACAACAGCAAGGCTGTTGCTGTTCCAAGTGCGAGAAACAGCAGTGGGCTTTGGGCAACCGAAAAGGAAGCTGGGCTTAGGTAACGTGTCATGGCAGTGAGTACTGGGGAAACTCGTGGAAGAGAGCCTGCAGGTTAAGGGTGCAGATGCCTCAGGTCTGGGGGTCCCTAAGAGCTTTTTAGAGTGGCGACACTTTGCCCGAGCTCTGAGTGATGACTGGGAGTCACTTCTGGAGATTCAGGGAGAGAAAAGAACAAGGAGAGGTCCTGAGGACCAAGAGGGGCTAGCCTGTGCTAGGGAAGGTGGAGCCAGCAGTGTGAAGGTCTGAGGTGGGTCATTGGGCTGTGGATATTTAATGAGGTTTCTTTATTATAAACACCACGTGATACCTTCCAACAGGGATGGTAAGCTGAAAGCCGCAGCCCCTGGACTTCTCTGGGCACTCCTGGATCAACTGTGCTAAGTGGCTTACTTCTTTCCGTGATGTTTATTAATATAAGAGATTAAAGGGATCCTCATAGATGTTCTGAATTATATCCAGGGAAGCAGTTACTGAGACCATTTGGGAGTGTCAAGTGTGCACTGGACAGTTATGCCAGGAAGCAAATTTGCATTTGTTTGGTCAACAGACTAAGGCCAAGACCCAGTCTCCACCAGCTGGGTTCAGAGAGCATCTACTTATCAGGGTTCTGGGTACCAGTTTTGGGAAGAAATCTCAGGAGTTTGATGACAAGCTCTACTGACAGATGTAGTAAGCACCCAAGACCTGGTTAGTGCTTTCAGGACAGGCGTTAGTAAAGTGATGTGTGTTCGTTTATTTTATACATGGATCCACCTTTGCCATTTATTTATTGTAAAATGGCTATCTAGATGAGGAAGTAGAACTAAATTGGTTTCACATAGTCTTTCAAAGGGGCTGTGCCGGTCAGATGGGTCGGTGGGTAAGCTACCTGCTGTACAAGCTTGGGGACCTGAGTTCGGATCCCCTATACCCATGTAAAAGCTGGGTGCATTGGTGCCCATCTGTCATTCCAGTGTGGGAGAGGGTGTGTGGGGAGGAGGGGGTCAGAGAGAAGATAATCCTGGAAGTTCACTGCCAGCCAGGCTAGCTGATTTAGTCCAGGGTTCGTCAGAGAGCCTGTCTTAAAAGAGAGCCTGTCTTAAAAGATAAGAGGGGATGGTAGAGGAAGACTCCCCACTCCCCCAAGTTGACATTTGGGCTTCTACATGCATAGGAAGACATGTGTACACACACACACACACACACACACACACACACACACACACTAAAATAAAATTAGAAGACTCTCAGTAAGTACCTTCTCTTGAAGCAAAGCAACCCATCCTGGCTTTCCTGGCCCTAACTCAGTACTGTTTAACACCTCTAGACCAGGACAAGGCAAGGAGGCCAGAGAGGGTATCAGACTCTTGGGAGCTGGAGTTATAGGTATCCATGGCAACCCCATGTGGGCCATGGGAACCGAGCTCCAAGCCTCATGATTGAACAGCAAGTGCTTTTAACCCCCGAGCCATCTTTCCAGCCCCCATTTCTATGGTTTTTGCATAGCGGTACAGACCTGAAATCCCAGGAGGCTGAGGCAGGAGGACCACCATAAGTTAGAGGGCAGCCTGGTCTATGTAGTGAATTCCGGGACCGCTAGGGCTAAGGTGAGATGCAGTGGTGTTAAAAGAAAAAGACTAGCAGAAGCAATCGAGAGAAATAAGGGATTCCAAGTGGCTCAGGCCCCTTTCCAGTTCTTTCTCCAAAGGGTGGACACAGAAATGGGATGTAGAGAGTAGAGTCAGCTGACCTTCAGGCTCTGCAGTCTGGAGGGTCTGCACCCCAACTGCGGTACTTTCCCCTCCCAACCTGAAGTCAGCCATAGACAGTATAGTCAAACAGGTGAGAATGGCTGTGTTCCAATAAAACTTTATTGACAAAAGTGGGCACAGGTCCAGATTTAGCCCAGAGATTGTGTAGCAATTACCAGGGTGCTTTGGCACCTACTTGGGCAAGGCTTCTGGGAGAGTTTGGCATTTTTAAAGATCATCTTCCTTGATATATTATTCATGGGAAGACCACCAGCAGCTTCAAAGCTAGCATCCCACGGGAAAAATCTGGTCCTTCCCATCAAGTTTTAATCTGTTTTGGGGACAAAGTGAATGTGCCCTAAGTCTGTTCCTAGGCTTGCCCAGGTAATGATATCACCGTGTAGCTCAGGGTCTTCCCAAGAGTCCTGTGGTCTCAGATGCCCAGGACAAGACCTGCCACGTTCTTCGGGAGAGATGTGTGTGATCCCACACTGGGGTGCTCTGTCATTTGGATCTTTTGTAGCCGCAGGGGGGACAAACCTGAGATGGTGACTTTGAAGGTTTCTCAGAGCTCCCAGGGGCTGTGGGTCCCTTCATAGCTTCAGGCCTGGGTTCTATTGTGTTTGCCTAACATCTGGGCTTTTGCCAGTTAATTTACCTATAAGCTATGCACCGAATAAAGAGGAAGCAAAGCCATCCATCTAAAGTATTCAGATTTTGGCCTTAATTAAAATGCAGAATAAATATGTAAGGCTAAAGAGCATGAATTATAGATACCGGGGTTTCTATATTAAAATCGCCTTTCATCTGTGCAGGCGCGCATGTTTGTGGTGGGGAGAAAGCGTGTGTATAAGTCCATAGTAAGAATATAGTTATGGCCCGTGTGTGCTTAGCAAGATGGGAAATGGGTCTTTTGTGAGAGAAAGAATCCCTCTGCCTTTCTGACTCACTGCCTCGGGAGATTTTTTTTCCTACCTCGGTTTTGTAAAGGATTAATTCTGACCCTTGTTATTTAAATTGCTTCACCACTTCTCAAAAGGCCGCTTCTGGTCTCTCAGAAGTGCTGGCTGCCAGGCTGGGGCAAAGCTGTTTCTATGCCTTACTCTACCCTGGAAGAGGCTTGCTAGCTGGGAGGACCCGGCAGGCAGGGGAGGCTGCAAAGGGGGAGAGACAAGTCTCAGGTCTCTGACAAGGTCGGCTGGCCCTAGCCCAAGAGGAGACTTAGGGTCCCAAGAGCTGAAATCAGCATCCAAGTACGTGACAATCAGCCTGGGGATGGAGGTGGACAAAAGGGACCATGATAATGGCCAAGGTCAGGGTGACGATTTTATATAAACGTTCAAGCTTACAAATTGCTATCAGTTAGGGCTTACTTTAACTCATGGTTGGGGAGATTCATGCTGAGAGCTAATCTGCATTACTTAGAACATTGAAACACAAGCAAATTAGATGTGAAACCCAGAATTATCTTGTAATCAATCTGGGTAGATAGTGGCTTTTTGGGGGGGGCGCAGACAGACGCAACTTTGCTTAGAGGTATTAATTTTAATGAGAAGTGGTGGTTAAAATGGAAAGGTGAGAATATTCTATTGCTGCATGAGACACACACACACACACACACACACACACACACACACACACACACACAGAAACATCCCTGACACCCGAGCTGATAACAGGAGCGGCTGTTAGTTACTTGTTGTTGTGATAGAGCACCCAACAGAGGCACCTTCAGGAAGGAATGGTCCATTTCAGCTCACAGCTCAAGGATGCAGTCCATCATGGTGGGAAGGCATAAGGGCAGGAGCTGGGCAGCCGGTCACATTGCATCTACAGCCAAGAAGCCAAAAGCAACCACTGCTGGTACCCAGCTCACTTCCGTTTATCCAGCCCAGAAGCCCAGCCCCTGGAAAGGCAGCGGGGTCTTCATCAATTAACCTGATCTAGGGACTCCCTCATGGACATCCCAAGAGGCATGGTTTGAGATCCTGTCCAGTGGACCGTCAGTATTAACTGTCACAGGGGCTATCTGGGAAGAGGGAGCAGCGGAGGGAGGAGGCTGGGTTGAAGAGGTAGTGGGGTGCCTGTGGTCAAAGGACACGGTATACTTGAACGTTATGAAACCCGCCACTTTGTACAGTGATTGTATACTAATCAAAAAACCGCAAGCACCAAATGCACGAAGGATGCCTCTCTAGTTTGTACAGCGGGTCCTGGCTCCTGCTGTGTTGCCTGGGGAGTAGGGGGCACTGTGCCAGAGGCAGAAGCCAGGCCGTTCCCTGGTTTGGACATTGCTATTCAGTCTGCATTTGGGTTACTTTTTTTTTTTTTTGGTTTTTACGAGACAGGGTTTCTCTGTATTGTTTTGGAGGCTATCGGTCCAGCCCGGCCTCGAACTCACAGAGATCCGCCTGCCTCTGCCTCCGCCTCCCGAGTGCTAAGATTAAAGGCATGTGCCACCACCGCCCGGCTGCATTTGGGTTACTTGTAACAATTGTGTGGTCTATAAGCCTGAAGGTGCCTGTTGCTGTTTCCAGCTGAGGATGGAGAATATGGACAGGACTGAAAGCAGCAACACAAATCCCATTAGTTACAGAATATTTTTTCATAATGATTTTTTTATTGTGTGTGTGTTTTTTTATCCTAATATGGTCTAGAAGTTTCTGTTACATAGCAACATAGCATTTTCTAGGAGATGCTGACTTGTGGAAAGTTTGGTTTGGGTGTTATGGTGGTTTGAATAGAAATGGCTCCTATAGGACCATAGAGAGGGGCACTATTGTACTGGAGAGATGGCCCAGAGGCTGGGCTGGAGAGGTGGCTCAGAGATTAAGAATACTGGCTGCTCTTCCAAAGGTCCTGAGTTCAAATCCCTAGCAACCACATGGTGACTCACAACCTTCTGCAATGAGATCTGGTGCCCTCTTCTGGCCTGTAGGGATACATGCAGACAGAGCACTATGCATAATAAATAATAAATAAACAAACAAACAAATAAATAAATCTTCAAAATACAAAGAGGACTGTAGCACTATTAAGGGATATGACCTTGTTGGAGTAGGTGTCCCTGAGGGGTGGGCTTTGAGGTTTCAGAAACTCAGACCAGGCCTAGTGACTCACTTTCTCTTTTTGCTATCTGCCAATCCAGATGCGGGACTCTCAGATCCTTCTCCAGCACCGTGTCTGCCTGCATGACTCCATACTTCCCACCGTGACAATAATGGACTAGACCTCTGAACCTGTAAGCAAAGAAATGCTTTCCTTTATAAGACTTGTGGCCATAGCTTGCTTTGCAAATTTCTATTTTTTTTTTAGATGGGGTATCACTATGTAGCCCAGGCTGTCCTGGAACTCGCTATGTAGCCCAGGCTGGTCTGAAATTCATAGAGATCTGCCTGCCTTTGCCTCTGAAGTGCTAGGATGAAAGGTGTGTGCCCCAATGCCCAGCCCGTGGGTCTTCTATTGAGAAACCCCTGATACAAAGTTTCATGGCTGGCTATCTTGCATGATGTCCCTTAACTGGTGGCATCTCTCGATAACTGGTGACATCTCTAGAACCTTGAAGGTGTGTGGAGCAGTTTAAGCAGGTGAGATGAGGTCAGGGAACCATGGTCACGGGGCACTGTCTTTGTGAGATGTGTTCATGAGTACGGTCAAATTCATTCACCCACAGCAACTCGTGGCTACTTGCAACGCACAGTTGCAGGGTTGGGGTGGGATCATTGTCTGCTCCACAAAGCCCCATATGCCCTATGATCCCTGCGCTTGAACTTTCTGGCATATGGTGGCTTCGGGATGCAGTTGTTGGTAGAGTGCTTGCCTAACATGCAGGAGGCTCTGGGTTCAATACCCAGCTCTGAATAGGGTGGGTTTGGTGGCACAGGCCTGGAATCACGGCTCTCAGGAAGATTAAGAGTTCAAGGTCACGCTTGGCTATGTAGTGAGCCTGGGCTACATGAGACCCTGAACATTTTGGTATTCCCTGACTGAGGAGAGGAGTTGGCTGTCCCTCCAAATCTCTGTGTGCTACTATTGCTTCTGATGGCCAGATGGGGAGGTCGGCGCACTGGCTGACCTCATCAGACCGGCTTGGTGCCATTTTAGCAGGAAAGTGGCAAATGTGTTGATTTCCTTCCTTCCCCTCTCGTGCTTTTTGAAGCTGTATCAGAGATTGTTGTGTGGCAGTCATCCGTTTTCCTCTTCATTAGACGACAAAGGTCAGAGGCCCGGTTCTGACTTGCAAACTCAATTTGTGGCTAACTGAAACATGTCAGGGACTTCACACGGTTAGCAGGATGGCATGCTGTATGTGTGTGTGTGTGTGTGTGTGTGTGTGTGTGACAGATCTCAAAGGCAAAAATATTTACTTCTTCCTTTCCAACTGGGGGACCCCCCCACCCCCGCCATGCTTTCAACAATTGTGCCTTCAACAATGGAGACACTGAAAGGCTGTCATCAACTGTCGCATTTTCACCTTTTCGCTTTCTTCTCCAGGAAAACAGAGAATGTCAGACTCTTGCAGGCAGTTACCACAGACCCAAGTGCCCCCATTACCTGAGTTTAACACATCCACTTTAAAGCATGGAAAATTGCCTCTAGGTGAACCCTTGTCAACTTTCCTGGAGCAAATGGGCTATAAACTATCGTGACCACAGAGCCAGTGCTTTTTGTTTGCAATTTAGAATTATGTGTGCTTCCAAAACCCTTCTACTTGGTTAAAAGTGCGCGCGCTCACTTGAGTGCATGGGCATGTATGTGCATGTGTATGGGTGTGTGTGCGTGCATGCATGCATGTGAAAACATGTGTTAGTGAGGTCACACATCAACACCTAGCATCTTCCTCAATCACTCTCACTAACTTTTGAGACAGAGTCTCTCACTGAAAGCTAGACTTGCTGGCCACCGGGCAGCTCTAAGGATCTATACATCTCCGCTTCCCCAGTACTGGGATCACACACATGTGCTGCTGCTCTCAGCTTTTTCCATGGGTTCTGAAGATTCAAAGGCGATCCTTATACTATGTGTCAAGCACTTTACTGATGGAGCATGCCCCCTGTCCCTCCATTCCCCCCACTTTAATACTGGGGATTGAACTCAAAGCCTTGGACGTACTAAATCATCACACCCAACCCCTTCCTTGTCTTAAAAAAGTCTTCTAAAAATAAAGCTTATGTAGCCAGGTGGATAGATGATTCCGTGGTTAAAATCACTAGATGCTTTTCCAGAGAACAGGGATTTGGTTCCCAGCATTCACACATCAGTTTGCAAACTGTATGTAACTCCAGTTCTTGGGAACCCAACGCCATCTTTAGGCCTATGCAGGCACCAGGTGCACAGGCATACAAGCAGGCAAAAAGATTCTATAAACATAAGATGATGATGATGATTATTATTTATTTTTAAGAAGCTGTGGTAGATCAAAGTTACCTAAGCTGGCCTTGACTTTACCATGTAGCCTGGTCAGGCCTTGATCTTGCCACCTTCTTACTTCAAATTCCTGAGCAGTTGAGATGATTGGCCTGTGCCACCATCAACCTGGTTGGAGACAGTTTTCAAGAATCTGTGGCTGTCGTCAGCAGAAACCTGTAGAGGCATGTGCAAAATATATTGTGTCTTTAGCATCCAGGAGAACCTGCAGTTTTGATAACTTTAATTGGCTCCCCGAAGCAAAATTATTCCTGGAACAACTAGGGCATAATTCCTAAAACATGGCAGAATCTGGCCTTAGGAAATTTCTTTTAATCCTAATATATCAAAATTACTAGCTGTTTACATAAGAACCGTTCTGTGGAGGATTATCTGTTTAGGATGAAATGTGTACTAGGAATGAATTGCAAATGGAGAACAAACTTAAAAGTTCAGACATTGTGTGCAAGGTCATTATAGCTTTTCCAACATTGATTTAGTTTTTATAATTGTATTGGTTTCCTTATCTCCTTTCTTCCATGGTTGTTTGGTAGTTGGGTGATGTCAGAGCTGTTTGCTGAGACTTGGTTGGAAGTTTTTGTCAGTTGATTTTTTTTTTCCTTTTGAGGTAAGTTCTTATTCTGTAGACCAGGGACTGGTCCCAAATTCATGGTGTGCCTTTTGTCACAGTTGACCTAGTGTTGAGATCATGGGTATAAGCCATGCCACACCTAGTTTGGTGGGAAAATTCTCCGAATTATTTTTTAAGTTAGTGTATGCGTCTGTGTGGGGGCATGTGCATGGTGAGTGCAGGTACCTGTGGAGTCCAGGAGAGGGCATCAAAGTCTCCTGGAACAGGAGTTACAGCTGGTTTTGAGCAGACTAATGTGGGCCCTGGGAACTGAACTTGGGCCCTCTGCAAAAGAAATTGACATAAAACTAGCTGACACAATTTATGACATTTATTTATGAACACACACACACACATACACACACGCGTGTGCGCGCACACACACACACATTGTGGTATACTTGTAGAGGTCAGAGGACAATCTGTGGGAGTTGATTCTCTCCTTCTAATGTATAGGACTTAGGACTGCATTCATCAGGCTGGGTGGCAAGTGCCATTACCTGCTGAGCCATTTTATCCGCCCTAACTTAAAAAAATAAAGTAGTGAAATAATTCTAGTCCTGCAGAATTCCCCCTAGAGCCTCATTTCACAGGGCAGAGGAGACCAGACTTGGCCTGTTATGGTCACGTGGCTTCCCTCTGTCTCATTCTCCACTTCACTTCCGATGACAGCAGTGCCTGAGAGGAACCTGTGGAGGCTTTGGGCTTCAGAGAAGCTGTTTGTAACTGTCAGGTTGAGGTTCCTGATGCTGCATGGTGCCGTTGCCAGACCCCCAACCCTTCTTTTCGGGGATCCCCGAAAACTGTGGCTGCTTACTGTGCCCAGGAAAAGGGCAAGGTTTGGAGGGAGGGTGAGGCAGCAGAAGGTTCAGGGCTGCGTGTGAGTGAAGACCTGGTTAGGTGGGGCCTGCAACAGAGGCAAGCAGAGCAAGCCTTGGTCAGGGCGGTGGCGGGCGGTCCCAAGAAGGGTGTATCCCAAAGGTTGCCAAGTCCTCTACAGTAGGTGAGGCAGGCTTGTGGCTGCAGGTTGAAAGCACAGGAAGAGATGTCACTCCTACACAAATGGTGTTCTTTGAATACACCCAGAGATGTGTCACTGCGAGTTTGGACACCATGGGGGCAAGAGTGACTTGAGTTCAGGGCTGCTGTCTGGACAGCACGGACTGAGGATGAAACATCCTCAGTCAAAAGAGACGCCTGTGATGGGGGCTCTGAGGTGAGTTCTCTTCTCTTGAAACGAAGAACCGGACAGGCTTGGTTTACAGGGCACAGGCACGAGCATTCTCTCTCTCTCAATCTCTCTCTCTCTCTCTCTCTCTCTCTCTCTCTCTCTCTCTCTCTCTCTCTCTCTCTCTCTCTCTCTCTCATTTGGCTCTTAGTCTCTGTTCTGTCACCCCTCTTCTTCCTTCTCTTCTCTCCTTCTCTCCTCTCTCCCTCCTTCCCTCCCTCCCTCTCTCCTTCCCTCCCTCCCTCCCTCCCTCCTTCCGTCTAAATTCTCAAGACCTTGAGCTTCTGGAAGGTACTTCTTCTGCAGCCTTCTGTGCCTCTGTGTTTCACCCGGTCATTGGCCTCCATGGTTGAGACTCAACACTCACAAACTTGAGCCCTGGACGTTCGGGTCTGGGAAAGGATACATGTATGCTGGGAGGAGCAGAGAAAGGTTCCTGAGAGACAGTTTTTGTGCGCACACAATGAGTGGTAGCCTAGGTGTTGGTCTGTGTAACTTGGTATGTGTGTGTATGTGTGTGTGTGTTGAACTTGTGGTGACAGCAGATATTGCTGGCTGCACAAGAATGCCCTGCTCACCCCTCAGACTCACATGTAGCCAAGGATGGTCTTGAACTCCTGATCCCCCTACCTCCTGAGTGCTGGGATTCCAGGCATGCTCCATCAGGCCTGGTTTATGCAGAGCTAGGCACAGAACTCGTGTATGTGACAGGCAAACCCTCTACCCACGGGGGCGGCAGTGGGATGGAATGCCTCAGTTTCCTTGTATGTTAAAAGGAAAGCAATTATATTGTTTTAGTTAGGGTTTTGGTTGCTGTGAAGAGACACCATGACCACGGCAACTCTTTTAAAGACAACATTTAATTGGGGTGGCTTGCAGTTCAGAGGTTCAGTCCATTATCATCATGGCAGGGAAACAGACAAGGTGCTGGCTGCCCATTGGCTTATAGGCAACAGGAAGTTGAGACTCTGGGTGGCATCTTAAGCATAGGAAACCTCACAGCCCACCCCTACAGTGACACACTTCCTCCAACAAGGCTATGCCCACTTCAACAAAGCCACACCTCCTAATAGTACCACTCCCTATGAGATTATGGGGGCCAATTACATTCAAACCACTACAAGCATGAACATCGAATTGTGTGTTAGTTACTTTTTAGTTAGCATTTTATCTCATTTCACATGACAAAATACCCAACAAAAGCAGCTTAAGAGAAGGAAGGTTTCTTTTCTCACTGTTTCAGATGGCTCACTGCATGTTGGCATGGCTCTGTGGCTCAGGCAGAGCATTCTGGAGTGGTGGCCAGTGGCAGAGTGGGATCTTTACTCTTGGCTGGACAAGGAGACAGAGATCAAGGCAGGAAGCAGGCAGAGATGACATGCTGCTAATAATATGCTTCCTTGGGATCTCCAGTCAGATCTCCACATGTTAAAGGTTCTAGAGACTCCACAAATGGCCCCATTAGCTGGGGACCAAGCACTCACATCCCAAGCCTCTGAGGGACATTGTACTATCCAAAACATATAAAAAGTGTTGATTCATGCAGGAAGTTACCCAGCATGATACACACTAACTTAGAGTTTGAGAACTGGAGTGTGAGGTTTCTGCTTTGCAAACCCACTTCATTAAATGCATCAGTGAATTCACTCTATGAAGAGGTTCATCAAGCCAGCGGAGGGTCAAGGCTTGCTACTTCTGTTTTATAGATACAAAGAAACCTTAAGTAGCTGATGCCACCCAGTAACTGGGAGAACTGAAGATGGAGCAGGGTCTGAAATGAGTGGTGGAGCAATGCTGTGTGTGTGTGTGTGTGTGTGTGTGTGTGTGTGTGTGAGATAGTGGATGTCCAGAGGGAGGGGCCAGCTCCTGGTATGGTACCCTGTCTCAGCACCCTGCATGCAGGGCTAGGTAAATGGCTGGGATCTGGGGCCAGGTTGGGGTTAGGGATTTCCTAGTCATTGCCTCCGACAGTTGTTGGCCAGGAGCAGCATGGTGGGACATAGGGCACAGAGCCCCTTACCCGGAGCAGGGTTTCCGTCAGTACCTTTCTATCTAGGCCTAGGTCTGGAGTAAAGAGTTGGTGACCTCCATCGTAGTCTCACATTAGGATGATTCTTGGTGGGTTTACTTTCTCCAGGTCTCCTCTCCTTTGCATTCTGTTGGGGAGACAGCAGTGGCATTGCTCTACGAACTCCTCAACACCATTGCAAGCCTCTCAGGTTGGACGCTGAGGAGCAGCGCACAGCTCTGCTGGAAGGGATAACAGTAGACCAGGAAGGTCTCAGGGATCCAGAGGATGTATGTGTGTACACATGTGCATGGTGTGCATGTGTAGGCGTGTGTGCATATGTGTACATGCTTGTGCTCAACAGTGTGAGCCTTTGTTGGTGTTCTCGCTTAGTGCTGGGCTGGTTAGGTAACAAAGACTGGTTGGTTGCTTTTTTTTTTGGTGTCTGTTTTTCTGGAAAATTTGCTTCCAACTTGAGGTACCCTGCATTTTAAAATTGTTCAAAAACCATGGACATTTGATATTGTGTGGGCTCTTGGTGGGCTTCAAAGGTGGATCAAATTCTCCAGCTAGGTTGTCAGTGGAGTGTGAAATATGAATGGCATGGTAGCCCATCGTGGGGCTTGAAGATGGTTTTGGCTGTGGGTAGTACTGCTCTGTGGAGGGGAGAGGTCCAGCTTTGTCCCAACACTTGGAGGGGAGAGGTTCAGCCTTGACCCAGTGTCTGGGTGTTTTTGGCTCAGAGTAGCCATTGATAAAACAAGAGGGTCATGGGTATAGTAAAAAAGAAAGCAGCTGAGATTTGAAGAGGCTTCGTCTGGGTCTGGGGAGGGGATGAGCAGCTCCAAGGCAGATGAGGAAGGTGGGCATGCCTCTCTGTAAGGCTGAGGATTGAGCACCAATATGAGCTAGGATTTGCCATCACCTTTGGCTCGGGGAAGCGAGAATGATGCAGTCCAGGCTGAGTCTGTGACTCACTGAGTGAGGCCGCAGGCACTCTTAAATCCTGCCTTCTATCCTATAGCCATCCACACCCCCAACCTTGCCGTGCGGCTTCTGCTTCTGAGGTGGTTCTCGAGTCTCTAGACTTCTTCCCACTGCTGCTACCCCAAGCCAGGTTCTTCCCCTTCTGCTGCACAGTGGCCTTCCCATTGGTCCCCTGAGTGGTCCTGTTCATGCCGGTCCACTCTGATCTACTAACATGATCTGTTCCCTGTTGCTGTTAGGGTAAAAGCCGCGTTCCTCGTGAGTCTCCAGCATCCTTCTGGTTCTCGGTTGTCTTCATCTTTGGTCCTTCTCTGTCAGTGGGTCAGTCTGGTTCCTCCTTGGGTTGTCTGAGTGTCTGGGATGCCCCTAGTGTCCTCTGGGACACTGCGCCTCCTTTGGTAGCCACCTTCATTTTAGAAGGCAGCACAATCCACTCGTCCAGCAGACATTTGCTAAAACTGTATATGGGCTGGGCATGGTTCTGAGTGATGAGTCCCTGCCGCCATTGTGATGACTCATCTTGATCATGGGCCTGATGGGAATGAGAAGTGCTTAGGAAATTTGTAAAATACACCTCTGAATGTGTCAGTGAGTCCATTTTCAGAAGACTAATTAAGGAAGGGTGTTAGTATTCAGGCATCTATCTGTACTGGCCTGTCCTTGGGGTTCTGACAGGACACGCCCTCAGCTGCAGCCACGAAGAGCACCACCTGTGCACATTCTCTGTGTTCCCTTTTAAAAGTGCCCTGCCTACCTCCCATCCTCCCTTCTCTCTGTTTCTCTCCCTCTCTCTGTCTGTTAGTTCCTTTCTTTCTCACACTTCTCTCTCTGCCCCTCTTTCTTCTTTCCCATGGCTCCTGTCCCTGAGGCCCATTTCCCCCTCCCTTTTCCCCTTTGTTCTATGGTCCTTTCCCCCTAACTAAAAAAAAACCCTCAGCTTGAACTCTGTTGCATGGTGTCTTTCTCTCTCTAAGCTGCTTTTTTACAACATTTACCCCGAGCTACCCTGAGCACGGAGCAGCATCCCACAGGGTGGGGTTGGTGGACTCCAAAACCAAGAGACAAGTCACCCGTTCTTCCTCCTGTTGCTTTTCTCAAGTGTTTGATCATAGTGACGTCAAGTCTACAGACACGGAAAACCACAAAGTTTTTAAAAAATTTAATTTTATTTACAGATTGGAGGGTGCAACCCTGGCTTCTTGCTAGCCAACTGCTCCAGCTACTAGAGCTGCAGCCCCAGCCTCAATGCGTGTTTCCTCAGTAAATATCAGCACACGTGCGTGCACAGGTCAGAGGGGCGGAGCAGGGGAGAGGCTGGAGTGAGAGGAGGGGTGAGCAGTGCTGCAGGCTGGCCTTTTATTGTCCTTTGGCGGGGTCTTGTGTAGCCCTCACTGGCATGGAACTCACAGAGATCCATCTGCCTCTCCCTCCCAAGTGATGCTGGGATCAAAGGTGTTTCACAACACATCTATCAAGGACATCTGCTTTTGAGGAGGTGAATTTCTAGGGAGCTTTGGATGAATTAAGGAAGCAGGTCCAAGAGTCATAAACCCTTTTTGCCTGCACCCACTAGTGTCTGTCTGTTTACCAGTCCCCGTGTCTCAGTAGCACCCATCACAGGTGAGGTTTTCACGCACATACCTGAGCAGTGTGTGCAGTCAAATTGGTTTCTGATGAGGTTTGTGGCTTCAGGAAGCACAGGCTGTGCTCTGGTTTTCTTGTCCTCACAATGCTGCATCTGCAGCTGTCTACTCGGCATATAGAGCATGCTAGATAAACATTCGCTCTCCGAATACTGCCTTCTGTTGGGAGAGCCCTCATCCGGCTGGCTTTCTTCTTTCTTTTGCATGTATATATGTGCATGGCATGCATACGTGTGTATGCCGTATACACGTGTGTGTGTGTGTGTGTGTGTGTGTATAGAGGTCAGAGATTGACATCCAGTGTCTTCCTTGATCACTATTTTATATACTGAGACTTTCTCAGGTCTCTTCTTCAACCTGGGACTCTTGGATTCAGTAAATCTAGCTAGCTTGCTCTGGGGACCCCATTTCTGTCCCCTGGGTGCTGGCTTTACAGGTAGGCTTGCCATGGGTATTTGGGTGCTGGGGTTCCAAACTCAGACATTTGCACATAGCACATAGCACATTGCCCTTTGAGAACTGGCAGGCTTTCGCTCTTTCACTCGATTCTTGCAGGATCTGTTCTGCAAGCCTGCAGTGCTCTGGGCCTCAGAGCACTGTGTCTGAGAGGACATCACCCTTTGGTGGTGGTGGATAACTTTACATCCTCAGTGGGGAGGGGGAAAAGGGTGGTGGGAAGCAGATCAGGCCATGACCAGGCAGAGGGAGGGCCAAAGCTACATCACAAATGGGCTGTGCGACTCTTTCAGTGGGCAGAGACAGAAAAAAAAAACAGTTGTGGGATCTCCCCATGGAACCAGTTGCTATGGAAATAAAATCATCCTTTTTCAAGAGGACAGGAACACTCCCTCCTGTTGCCACCTACTCTCTCAGACTGCCTTGTCAGAACACCTGGCAGGCAGGGTAGCCTTTAAAAGAGTGAGTGTCCACAACAGCACCGTGGTGTGGCAACACAGTGGCATTTTATACAGCCGTGAAAAAGGAAGGTACCGTGTCAGTGCAGGTAGAGCTGGACATTGTCAATAAACCACTCTCAGGAAGATGAACAGTGCGTGTCTTCCTAGGTTGTGTCTGAAGGACATGAAGGCAGAAACGGGAGAAGGTGGGAAAGGAAGCAAGGTGTGTATACACTACCATCTCGAGTTAGCTTCAGGTGAGTCATACTCTACCGTCTTTCATCCAGTAAATACCCAGTGAATGTTAATAGTTTGTGATTTAGTGCTTATAATTTTATCACAGTGTCCATGTCATGTTATTGAGACCTTCCTGAGGTTTGTGCCTGTCACCCCCCCCCCCCCCCGATGGTTCTTGTACTGGAATCCTGTTCCCCAGTGTGGCAGCGTTTGGGAGTGGTGGACCCTTTAAGAGATGGGGCTTAGTGGAAGACAATCAGGCCATCAGGAGCATTGCTCCCAGAAAGGACAGATGTGGTTCATTTCTTGGCTGCGATGACGACTTTTGCATGGCCACAGCAGGCCAAGTTCTGGTACGGCGGCCGAGTTGTGACAGACACTGCATGGCCAGAAAATACCAACTGTCCAGTGTTCACAGGAAACATGTGCTGACCTGGGTACAGAACAAAGCCCCTGCCATGCCCCAGGGTGAGAATCCCACCAACAGACAGGACAGCTGACTCATTAGTGGGGCTTTTAATGGTGATGCTCCAGATTGGGGGGCGGGAGCTCTTGATTTTTTTGTCTGATTTTTTTTTCTTCTTCTACTAGGAAATACTTGTTTGATGACTTAGGAAAGTTCATTGATTTTTCTTTTTCCTCAAGGAGTCCTACACATGTAACCAGCCTCCTCACCTATGTACATATATTTTTCCTACTCTTCATCTTTCTTTAAACAAAAGATTAAAAAGGAAGGAGAGAAGTATCTTCTTTGAGCTCTCGGGAAGGCTGTGTCAAATTTCTACGGTGTGCTCACAAAGTCCCCGAAATCCAAATAAAGGGAATGGATTGAGAGGGCTGTAAAGTGGAGGGAGGAGGCTGTAGGGAAGGGGCCAGCCTCCTGCACAGCCCTCCGTTACACAGCTTTACCGTCTGTCCAAGTTTTGCTCCAGATCAAACCCAGGGTTATAAAGGGCTCTGATTTGGTAAATCTTCTTTAGGAGTAAAGAGGGAATCTAAAGCCTCAAATATCATTTGAGATTAGAGTGGCAAGTGAGACTGGGGTTTAGTGTGCATTCTCAGATGTAGAATGGAAGGACATGGGGTCCAGGCTAGGGCAGTTGCTGGGAGTTCAAGTTCTCCCAGCGTGTGGTCACTGGTGGGTTGTCCTTACCCAAGTGGATGGTGCCACATGTACTTAGGCAGCACTAACTGGACTTAGTGAGTTATGAAAAAAGAGCAGGCATGAAGGTGGGGAGGGCAAAGGCTCTGGGATCTGGGTGGGAGTGGGAGGGGAGATTTGGGTTGGAAATGATCCATATGTATATTGTATATATTTATGAAATTGTCTAAGAATAAATAAAATTATAAAAAATAGTCTTGGAGCTAGAGTACAAAAGCCACTACACATACAAACACCCTAATAATAAGGAATTCCTAAGGCTGGGATTGGTGTGAAAGGGTATTTAGCTCAGTTCCTGTTTTCAATAGAAGCATTTACCAACTCTAGGACTACTGACATCATCAAATCTGATATGTAAAGTGATGCCTTGATTAATTTTAATGGGATTTTCCCCTACTACAACCGTGACATTGAGACCCATGGTCCCACAAGCCCCTTGGAGCCCAAGACTCTGACTAATTATTACTGGACACTTTCAGCACCTCGGACAGAGTTCAGACGATCAAGGTGACTCCTCAACTCTTGGTGAATGGGTGGAGAGCATTATGAAGAAAACACAGCCGTGGTCAATGTGAATCCTTCTAATTTTAACTGGTTTACTTACTCCCTTCTATTTCTTGTTCAACTGGCTAATAACTTTAGTATAAAAAATTGGAATGCAGTAATTTAGAAATCCCCCGGGTGTCTCTTCTCCCTGCTAACCCACCCTCAAATCCCTCACCTTGAGTTTTCCTTTGACTCTGTTTTAAGTTCTGTTCCTGTGAGGTAGTGGGGTATAGCACACAGCTGGAGAGTTCCTGGAATGAATGAGGTTAATAATTCTGAAGCCACTACGGATAATTTGTAAGGCAGAAAATCCAATTATAGATAATTAGGATTTAACCCAAGTTCTTTTGAAATGGCTTGGTATTGCCTTATGGCCATAAACAACCAAAATTAATTAAAAAAACCAGCTACTAATTTCAATAATTATTTATAAGTTTCCCAGGACTTTCTTACTGCCATGTCCTCACCTTCAGCACCCTTAGATAGAGATGCAGATGCCAGGGTGTGTCCTACAGGCAGCGGGACCCTGGTTGGAGCATGCCCCGATCACACCTTCATGCTCAGGTGGCATCTAGGTTCATTAAGCTTTCATCAGGGCGCACAAGATGAATTGACTGCACAACGTGAATGATCATTCATGATCCATCCTTCTTCCTGTTTATTTCCACCCACAGCCATTTTTTTTTCAGAAATAGAAAAGGTATTTGTTGTGAAAATATCCCATCCACACAGACTTTACAAAAACCACAGAAGGCAGGACCCACCACTAATTCGCCACTCTGAGGTGACCCCAGTTTACTCCCCTTGGCCATCTTCCTGTCTCTGTGGGTCTGAGTTACTGCTGTCCTTGCTCCGTTCTGTTCCTGTTTGGGGAGGAAAGGGTTGATTTGGCTTACACTCCAGGTCAGAGTTCTTCATTAAGGGAAGTCAGGGAAGGAAATTAAGCTGGGCTAAAGCAGAGACTATAGAGGAATGTGGCTCTCTGTCTTTATCTCCTGACCACGCTTAGCTGGCTTCCCTGTGTAACCCAGGCCCAACTGACTAGGGCTGACACCGCCCACAGTGGGCTGGGCCCTCCCATGTCAATCATCAATCAAGACTATCCCTCAGTTGAGACTCCCTTAGATGACTTTAAGCAAGTTGACAGCTGAATCTAAGTAGGACATTCCACTTCTTGTCAAGTTTACATTACTTTAAACTATAACCGTTCATTTCTTATCCACAAGATCTCATGTTGATATTACAACATAAAACAGAGTACAGCTTAAAAGTTCAACAATCTTTAAAATAGTCCAGGACTCTAAAAGTTCAATGCCTCTTTAAACGTTCAAAGTATTGAGCTGGAGAGGTGGCTCAGTAGTTAAGAGCACTGGCTTGCTCTTCCAGAGAACCAGGGTTCAATTCCCAACACCCACATGGCAGCTCACAACTGTCTGTAACTCTAGTTCCAGAGGATCTGGCACCCTGACACAGATACACATGCAGACAAAACAGCAATGTATATAAAAAAGTTCAAAGTGTCTTAACTATGAGGCTCCTGTAAAACTAATAAATAATAAATAAATAAATAAATAAATAAATAAATAAATAAACCAAGAGGGAAGAAACAGAGTATATCTGTATCTACTATAATCAGATCAAGGCAAAACCCCGAAGTGTAAAAGCTCAGTGCCCAACATCTTGAACTCAAATCGTGGTCTCCTGAGTTCCATAGTGTTTGGACATCCCTGCTTCTCCAGCCTTGCTGTCTGAGCACACACAGTTTGCCTCGTGAGGCACGGGCCACCTCCACTTCAACCGGTTGTTGGCAGGTGTCCCATGGTCCTGACCTCTCTGACACCCTGCCCTGAGGTCTCTGCTGCAGACGAGACTGCATCTTCAACAACAGCCTTCCCTGCCCCTCTTCAGGAACTCTGCCCCTGCCCCACAGTGCCAGGCCCCAGGCTCTCTCCATGACCCCGTCAATCTTACATCTTTCATGTCCTGAAAGCCAGTACTGTGAGGGTGACTCTTACACATTGCCAAGTTTGGCTGCCAGCTTGGGAGGCAGCTTTAGCCTCCTTGGACCACGTCTTCTCTGCATTGGTCTTACAGCCCCCAATGAAGTACCGAAGGTTCACTTCAGTGATGTTTGCCAACCAAACCACAGATCCTTAATCTAAAACATCACATAAACAGCCTGGCTGCACCACACCCTTTCATCACCCTGGCCTACAGTGCCTCAGGTCCAGAAACAGTTTATCCAGCTGAGAATATAACCTCCAATCCAAAAAGCTCAGGTAACTCATTCCTTAAGTAGTCTACTCTGTAATTTGTCACAGCTATAGGTTTGAAGGCCACAGGGACCTTTTTGGGGTTACAGAGCTTTTCTACGTGGTAATTCTCACAACAGCTATGTGGTTGCACACTTTTTTTTAAAAAAACAAAACCCACCTCACTGCATTATACAGAGATAAAAAGCAACGAAGTCTCACACAAATCAAGTCAACCGTGTGTGGTGCTTTCTGTTCACACAGCTTCCAAGATCAGGGTTCTAGAATCATTCATTCCCTAAAAAGCATCAGTAACCACACCTTTAAAAAACCTGCAGTTAAACTCCGCTGGCAGGGTGTGCTTACGTTAGCTCACGCATCTGTTTCTCCAGAGGCATCGTGAGGGCCCCTCTGTGTGAACGAAAGTTGGTGGTAAGCTGTGCTGTGAAGCGGTCCACATTGTTGTATCTGGTTGGGAATCATGTCTACTGTGGTCCATGGAGGATCCTGCAGGGTTGAGGCTGAGCACTGGGTGTTTCCCTTGACATGGGTCAGCATGGCGGACATCACCTTGTTGGCCCTCCCCCACCCCCGCTGTTGATCTCACTTCACTTTCTTATCTTGGCCTGCCACGCGCTTCAGTTTAATACTCAGATGTGGAGGCAGCGCATCTGAGATCGTCAGTGCTCTTGGTCTAGGCCATCACTGTCCCCCTTCCAATTAGCCTTTCAGTCTATGCTTTTGCTTAGCTTGACACATATCAGTGGTATCAAATAAGCAAGCTGTAATTAACACATACTTGGATCTTGCGCTAGGTGCTTTTTCCTTTTGAGTTAGAATACACGTCCCGCAGCTTGAATAGTTACATGCTAAGCCAAAGGGATGTTTCCACTCTCCTTTTTCCTTTAACATATATTTAATATAGTGTACATATAAATATATATATTTCTATGTCCTTAAGTCTTACAATAAACTATTTCTTTTTGTTATTAATCCCAAGACCTCTTTCAAGCTAGGCAAAGTACTCTAATGTTAGGCTGCACCTCTGGTCTGTAAATTATATTCTGACTGGAGGAATTACATTGTGTCCCAGCCTGGGTGCAGTGTGACCAGCTGTCTCCCTTCCTGTGGCCATGCTTCCTCATTATCGAGGATTGTGTTCCCTTGAGCTGTATGTGAGAACAAACATTTCCCTAAACAGCTCCTCATGAGGCATTATGTTACAGCAATGAGAAAAGTAGCAAATACAATGTATCTTAAACACACATGTAGTGCAGTTGCTGTGGAAACATTTCCGAAGTAAGAGTCAGGGATGCTTCCTGCGATGCCTCCCACATCTTCCCGTGATGGAAGGGGATCTTGCATCCAGTGTGGTTTCTCAGAATGGAAACATCTACTCCATGCTTACGGCGTGCCAAGGGTCTTGTGCTTGTAAGGCTATTTACACTTTCTGGCACTCACGCAGCTGAAGAGGCAGGAGTAACTCTGCGGTGGTGGAACTGGGACTCTGAGACTAAACACAGTGCCCCAGGTTCCAGGCTTACCAGAGGAGGACCTTACCAGGTGTGCATGGCTGCACATCTGGCCGTGGTTCACCAGAGGAGGACCTCACCAGGTGTGCGTGGCTGCACATCTGGGTTCGTAGCTTTTGGTTCTTCCCTTGGGTGTCAGCTGGTCCTGTGGGAATCTGACACCCCTGTCCAACAGTTGGCTCTTTGCCATTGGGCTTGGGGAAGAATTTTATTTCCAGAAGCCAACAATCAGAGTGGTAGTCAGATAATTAACTTGTCTCCCCTGGAGGGGCTTTGCTCATGGGACGGTCTTCAAATGGGGCATGAAAAGGCACTTGGCAAATTGCAAAAGGAAATAACACTTCAAAATGAAAAACGGATGCACATTTATCAACCAGGGGCAGCAGAAGAGCAGGCGCCATCCATCTGGGGCCACCACCGAGCTCCACCACAGGGAGTCAGAGCCACGACGAGTGCTGTAGCCTTCCTTGATTCTAATCTACCAAAGCCGATGCTGTTTCCTGATTTTCTGTTACCCAGATCATTCAGGCTCTTCCGTGTTTTAGCTTATCTATTTGTTTCTGGCTACAGCTTTAATAACGGTGAAATATGCCAAGGGTGCCCAAGCAGGCGTTTCCAGTGTGCCCTGACAAAGCTCTGAAGATGATTTATTTCAGATAGATTTGAACACGAAATCCATTTAAAGATCATTTATTTATTTACTTATTTATTTAGTGTGTGTGTGTGTGTGTATGTGTGTGCTTGCACACATGCATGGGCACATACATGCCACAGCACATATATGGAGGTGAGAACAATTTATGGGCATTGGTTCTCTCTTCCCACCGTATTGGTCCTGGGGATGGTATGCAGGCAGTCAGGCATGGCAGTAAGCACCTTTATTGGCTGAGCTGTCTTGTCCTCTCTACAAAAAAAAATAATTTTACCACTGAGAGAAGGATCATCAAATAGAGGTGTGCTTCTCTCCCAGGTTGGATCTTCTGATGGTGGAGGGGCAGGTTGTTCATGGAACAGAAGTCGCGTTCCTGGAGGGCAAACAAAAAAGGCTTATGGTGACCACGGATTGTTTATCTGAGGACCAGGTAAACAAAGTGATATATCTTCTCCTCTTATGCCATGCAGGCTCACCTGCTTGGGACCGTCAGAAGAATGGAACGCACGATGGGGGTGTGCTTAGGTGTGGATGTGTATCCCAGCACAGCCTCACTAGAGAGATGGGAGGCCAGTGGTGAATGCTTTTGAGTATTTATGAACATTTTTGAGAGTGGGCCTCATGTAGCCCAGATTGGCCTCACACACTGTAGGTAGACAAGGAAGACCTTATACTCCCACCTCTCCTGCCTCATCTCTTGAGTGCTGAGCTTGCAAGGCTGTGTCACCACACCTAGTTTAAGTGCTGAGGCTTAAATCCAGGGTCTCAAGTATGCGACATACAGGGAAGAGTACTACTGACTTTACTACATCCCCTGCCTGAAACTGGCATAAAAAATAAAATTAGCTGAAACTCTTTTACTGTTAGTTATATCCATACCCAGCAACATAAGGTTTTTTTTTAACAACCAATTCTTAGGAGCTCAAGAACCCAAATTTTCTTCTTTTCTTTGTGCCTTCAGATTCTAGGATGTTGTACCGAGTGCACTGCATGGCTCTCTCCCCGACTCTACAGTGTCTTAAATTCCTACCTTGGCTCCAAGAGGCTGACGTAAGGCTCCCCACTTGCTTGCAACAACTCCATCAAACATTGCAGTGGCAACGTTGAACTGAGTGGTGCCATGAATGTCTGTGCTAGCTCTTAGCATTGTGTTAAGAGCAAACAGACTTTATGCCGTGGGCTACTGTGATCCAACAATAGCGCTTTCTTCAGCCTACGCATAAAACATACCTTGAAAATTTACAGGCCTTTGTATGTAAGTTGGATCAAAGAGATTTATAATTTTTACATTCTCACTCTTGCCCTATCTTGGAGGGAAGTGAGTTTTGCTTGGAGCACTTCCCTTACTAAACAGAACCAGAGCACCATGGTTCAGCTGTTAAGCTGACGCAAACCCAGGGTCACCTGAGGAGAGGGAACCTCAACTGAAGAATTGTCTCCAACAAATTGACTTGTGGCCATATCTGTGGGGCATTTTTCTAAATTGCTCGTTGATATAGGAGGATCCAGCCCACTGTGGGCGGTGCATTCTGTAGGCAGGTGGGCCTGAGCTTTACAACAAGCAAGCTGCTAACAGTTCCTGTGTATTCTCTGTTTTGGTTCCAGACTCCAGGTTCCTGACCTGAATTCACACATTAGCTTCCCTTGATGGTGGACTATAACCTGCATTTTAGTTAGGGTTGCAATGGCTGTGACGAAATGCCATGGCCAAAGCAACTTATGGAGGAGAGGGCTTTTTTGACTTACGCTTCCACATCAGCATTAACCCTTTAAGGAAGTCAGGACAGGAACTCAAATGGGGCAGGACCATGGAGGCGGGAGCTGATGCAGAGGCCATGGAGGGAAGCTGCTTACTGGCTTGCTCATCATGGCTTCCTCAGCCAGCTTTCTTACAGAACCTGGGACCACCAGTCCAGGGATGGCACCACACAGAATGGGTTGGTCCCTCCCCAATCAATCACTAAGAAAATGTCCTACAGCCATATTTTATGGAAGCATTTTCTCAGTTGAGATCCACTCTTTTCAGATGACTCTAGTTTGCGTCAAGTTGATATAAAAGTAGCCAACACAACCTGTGAGCCAAATAAACCCTTTCTTTCCCAAGTTATTTTTGGTCAGAATCATTCATCCTTCCACTTATCCATTCACCTATCCATTCATCTATCCATTTACTTAGTCACCCACCCACCCATTCAATGCCCAACCCATCCACCCATTCATTTCCCCATCCATCCATCCATACATACATACATACATACATACATACATACATACACACATCCACCTATCCATTATCCATCCACCCATCCTTCACCCCTATTCACACTCTCACCCATCCATCCATCTTCACAGAGTTTTTTTTTTTGTTATTTTTCTCGTTGTGTGTGTGTGTATGAGGCATTGTGACATCTTGGGTTAGGCATGATTGATTTTTCTTTATAAGGCTTTGATTTTAGATGATAAACTTTCTCTCCACCATGAACTCCTATTCCACACTTGACTGATTTTCTGAAGCAGAGGGAGGAGGCAAAACTCACTTCAGTGTCTATTCCCAGGTCACAGAATTCACATGAAAACTTGTTAAAGCAGTGTGCTACTTAGGAGGCTCTGGTATGATTACCCACCCCCAAACCTACAGAGTTTGTTGTCACATCCAGGCATGGAGTTCACAAGACGGTGGGAAAGCAACGACAAACTTGGGTCTGAGTCAAATGACCTCCAGATCCACTTTCAGCAGAGAAGCATGATGACCTTTTAACACATAAACACTTAACAGATGAAGTGACTTCTTGGTCTAACTGAGTGTAGCACAGTGCTCCGCCTCACCTACCAGCTCAGTGTCTGACACCGGGCACGCTGGATACTCTTGTCACATGGAGATCTGTTTTTCTTTTTATAGACCTCACAATGGCTTGTGTCACCCCTGATGTTTTATTCATATAGTCAGGATACCAGATGTTCAAGGAGGTTGCGAGCTGCTTGCCTCATTGTGACAAGCAAGGGCTTTTCTCTGTTGTTTAGCATTTCTTGGTTCTACCTCATGTGTGATGCTAGTTAGCAACAGAAGAAAGGACTGAATAACGGAGTAGAAAATGGCCAATGGTTGAGATGTGTCAGAATTGTGTGTGTGTGTGTGTGTGTGTGTGCACGTGTGCATGGGCATGCATGTATTGCATATGCATGGAAACCAGAAGGCCACCTTTGATGTCATTCCTCAGGTACCATCCACTTTGTTTTTGATACCTGATAGCCTCACTGAGTAGGCTAGGCTGGCCGGCCAGTACCTCTCAGGGATCCATGTGTCTGTATGTCTGCAGCACTGGGATTATGGGTGTGTGTCACTATGACTAGACTGAATTCATGTCCTCATAGTTGCAGAAGAAGCACTTTACCCACTGAGCTGTCCCCCCAGATCCACACCAGAGTCATCCTGAGGTCAACTTAAAGCAAACTCAAGCTATACGTTTCCTCTGTCCTATTATAAACACTAACTTTATACATTAAATTGTGTTATTTTGTTGTTTGTAGATCAATACTTAATGTTTCATTTGGGTCATTGATTTGACCTTTCAAGATGAGGTGTTTTTTTTTCATTCAATAATATTAAGGTAATCTTCTCTATCATATAGAAGCATGGAGTTGATCAAGTTATTGACTAAATGATCCATGTGAAGCAATTTAACAATGTATGTGGTACTTGGTGTGCTCTCATTATAGTGATGAGGGTGATAGTAATGATGGTCATGATGGTAAGGATGGTGATGATGATGATAGTGTTGGTGATGATAGTGATTGTGTTGATTGTGGTGATGATGGTGGTGATGGTGATGGTGATGATGATGATGGTGATGATGATGATGGTGTTGGTGATGATAGTGATTGTGTTGACTGTGGTGATGATGGTGGTGATGATGGTGACGATGGTGGTGATGGTGATGATGATGTAATGGTGGTGGTATAGTAATGGTGATAATGGTGGTTGTCTTAGTTACATACATGTAATTACATGTATCACGCTATCACACTGTACCCCACGAGTATATCCAATTAAAAGCAAACTAAAAAAAAAAACCCAAACATCAGAAAAGGCATGCCACTGTTAGTACTTTGAACATGATACTCTCAGACTTTTCCACATGCTTGTAGAATTATTCCAATTCCACATCCCTTCTTAAGTAAGAGTCACTCCACTACTGTTTCCACTGTGCTTCAACCAGGTCACACCACACAGGGTTCTGTAATCTGCGTTGCTCCACACAGGGCTCTGTAATCTGCATTGCTCCACACAGGGCTCTGTAATCTGCGTTGCTCCACACAGGGTTCTGTAATCTGCATTGCTCCACACAGGGTTCTGTAATCTGCATTGCTCCACACAGGGTTCTGTAATCTGCGTTGCTCCACACAGGGTTCTGTAATCTGCGTTGCTCCACACAGGGCTCTGTAATCTGCGTTGCTCCACACAGGGTTCTGTAATCTGCATTGCTCCACACAGGGCTCTGTAATCTGCGTTGCTCCACACAGGGCTCTGTAATCTGCGTTGCTCCACACAGGGTTCTGTAATCTGCGTTGCTCCTCTGCCCATTTATCAGGGGCACCCTCTGAAGTCTTACTCTAGGGCACACTACACAGTGGAGAAGTGAGACAGGACGGGTAGGTTGTACTATCTCCTTCCTGTCCATCTGGGTTGTCTTAGGTGGTGGCAACAGCAAGAAAATTTCTGTCCTCTTCACGTGCCTGAGGATGGGGACAGCTCCAAGGTGAGCGCAGTAATTACCAGGTTGAAGAGTTGCTAAGCAGCACCTCTCCTTTTCTCTTCCCATTGTCTCCCCCTCTATTTTCTTTCCCCTCCCTCCCTCCCTCCCTCCCTCCCTCCCTCTCCCCCACCCCTCTCCCTCCCTCCTTCCCTCCCTATCTCCATCTCTCCCCCTCCCTCCTTTGTTCCTCCTGGAATATATAGGTGTATACATATAACAGGGTAGTCTCAACCTCTCTCTGTAGCTGAGGACGAACTTCCGAGTCTCTGGATGCTGGGGTCATGGGTGGGGTCGCAGGTGCGCACTGTCACGCTCAGCTTACTCTCTGCTTTCTGGAATATTTGCTCTCAATTCCCATTCGTGACTTGGCCCACTCATCACATGTCAACTGTGAGGTCCTTGCTCTGATGGAGGAGGGCTTACCTAGCACCCTGCAATTGCTCATGCGTGCCCCGCTGTGGGGTGCCTTGCTCTCTGCTGCTTGTCTGGTTGACTGCTGTTCTCCTCCCCAGGCCAGCTTAAGTCACACACATCCTTGGATGCCTCCGTTGAATGAATTGGTCCAATCAAATTTCCTGTCTTCTATTGTTGCAGCAGCAAGGAGCCTTTTATTACCAAAACTGCTCACGTTTTCATGCAAGATCTGACAATACAAACAAACAGACCTAATTTGTTTTATTTACATTTTAAATATCTATGTATCTGTGTATCTGTGTGTATGTATGTATGTGTGTATGTATGTATGTGTATATCTCTCTATGTGTGCATGTGCAGGTGTGTGTGCCTGTCATAATATGTGTAGTAGACAAGAGGACAGAGTTTGGGAGTTGGTTTTTTTCCCTTTCAGCCACTGTGTTCTGGGACAGAAATTAGGTCATCAGGCTTGGTGGTGAGTGCCTTTGCCCCCTGAGCCACCTCACTGGCCCTGTTTTAACTCCCCCAGAGATAAAATGCTCTCCTGCTGCCTGCACTCGGGACACCATCTTTCTGGTGCCCACCTGTTGCACCTGTTGTGCGGCCTGCATCCGAGAATGTAGTGAGGTGGTCGGGATAGATGACACAGAGACCGGTCGGTTGCTTTAAGAAAACTTTATGCTTCCCAAGTCAGCTTAGGAGGAGACCCCAGTCCGGCTTAGGAGAGAGCTCTCAGGAGAAGTCTCCCCAAGAAAAAAGAGCTTCCCTTTTTAAGGACTTCTGCCATCCATCTACATACAATTCTTTCCAGACTTCTCACCCTCCTGGCTGGTGGTTTAATCTCCGGCCCCAGAATCGGGGAGACACCGCAGGGGGGACAGG